CGCGATCACGTGTCTCGGAATTGATATGACCGTTCGGGCAAATCAGTGGCATGCGTGCCCCGCCCACAATGCCATTCTATGTTTTTCTGTTTTCTATGATATCTTACCATGTCGTCACTCCATCTAGTGGGGGGTCGCCCTTACACTACGCCTACCGATACGAGGCTGCCACTCGAGAACCTTTCTTCCCCATCGGTTATCGGTTCTTCGAGCCATATGGCCGGCCCATTGCCACTTCAGCTTACTAATCCGTTGGGCTATGTCGATCACTCCGGTTTTACTGCGGATATCCTCGTTTCTGAGTCTATCACGCAGAGAAATTCCGAGCATATAGCCCTCTCCATTGCTCGCTGAGCGATCTTGAGCGTCCTCATACGGCCAGCAGTGAAGGACCACGTCTCAGATCCGTAAGTCATTATTGGCAACACGCACTGGTTGTACAATCTAGTTTTTAGAGATTGAGGTATACCTGACGAGAAGATATGTCGTAATTTCCCGAACGCTGCCCAGCCGAGTTGAAGCCGTCGATTGACCTCTCGGTCGAAGTTGGACTTACCTATGTGGCCGTGGAAGGAAAAGGGGAGATCTCCCGCCGGGCAAGGTGTTATGCCCGGGGAGCGGCCAACACTCCGTGTGATAGTTCGGAGATGTTCTATATATGCTGTTTATGATTCGGAATGTTGATAGCGTGATTTAGGCTTCGGTATGTTTCGCTTGCGACGCGACGACAGCGCCGCCACATCACCCCCTGCTCAGACCGGAGGTCGATAGTGCAGTCCGATTGCCGGTGTGTCCATTTAATGCCGGTGGGCAATGCATGATGTATGCGTAAGGGCAAGTGACACCGGTGCGAATGATATGCCGATGTGTAATGCATGCCGTACTACGCACTGGCAAGTGATGCCGGTGAGAACGATGTGCCGGAGCAAGTGCCAGAAGTCTGCCTTATAAATCTGCGGTGAGTCGAGATGAAGACAAGTTGGGCTGGCTTGCAGGAACTGAAGACTGCAGAAGACGATTCTCAGTAGTGAATGGTAAGGGTTCTTGAGGATAATGACGAAAGCTTGAAGTTGTAGTTTCCGAAGGTGTTTGGTTGCGTGTTCAGATCACGTCGGTGTCACCACTGTGGCCGTGGAAGGAAAAGGGGAGATCTCCCGCCGGGCAAGGTGTTATGCCCGGGGAGCGGCCAACACTCCGTGTGATAGTTCGGAGATGTTCTATATATGCTGTTTATGATTCGGAATGTTGATAGCGTGATTTAGGCTTCGGTATGTTTCGCTTGCGACGCGACGACAGCGCCGCCACACCTAGTCGGACTATTTGTCCCAGGTAAACGTACTCGTCAACAACTTCGAGCATAGTGCTCCCAACAACTACCGGCATAGGTGTGACATGAACATTAAACATAATCTTTGTTTTGTCCATGTTCATCTTAAGACCTATCCGTTGTGAGGCACTATTGAAGTCATTGAGCATAGTGCTTAAGTCCTCCAGCGATTCTGCCATAAGGACTATATCGTCGGCAAATCGAAGTAAATAAATAATAAATTATAAAAGTAAAGGTTTGATTATATTTTTACTAATTATTAGCATTAAGGTGAATCTGAATCAACCAAGCACTACGGTAAAGTGCATGACGACGTATGATTGAAACAACGTCAGGCATAAATTTGATTCTGGTAAATTTTTTTATATTTTGTTTTGTTTGAAATTTCGAATTGAAATAAGTTATTCGAGAACTATTACATGTTGTAATTAAATACACAGATAACTTCATAATTCTTTGGATTTACATAAAAGGTTATTTTAAATTGTATGAGTAGGCTTGTACAAAGTTATTGCGGAATGATTAATGTGAAACGAGAAATGGTATTTCTTACGTTCAGTTCGTAATTCTACTAAACAAGTAAGCATATATGTATTTCTTTTGTCACAGTGCTCCGGGTTTTAAACAATAAAGTCTATAGTCTATTTTCAAAAAAAAAATAAGTTATAGCCTACATACTTCCCACTGCTGGGCACGGGCCTTCTCTCGTTTCTGAGAGGGTATATATTATTATATCCTTGCTTCTAAGAAATTCATAAATCCTTGCAAATGAATTATCATGTGTAAAATAATAATCATTGTGTATAATAACGTTTTACCAATACAAACTTAGCGTTTTTATCCTATTTTCAAAACTAATACTTCAAACTTCATAATATTTTGATGCTCTTAATATTTACCACTCCGGTTCCCTTTACAAAAAAATCCCTTTACACTCCGTAAAGGGATTTTTTGCAACTTTTTTCGAAAATCTAACCTCAGTTTCAAGTGCAAAATGCTAATCAACGAGATTCTGGCGACTTGAATAGTGGCGGTATCATCATTATCATCATCATCATCATCGTAGCTCTTCAAAAGTCACGCTGTTGAACTTAGGGAATGCCAAAAAACACTGTCATGAACCACTAGCATCCATCGACTTTCTGCATGTCTCACCAGGTCGTCACTCTATCTAGTAGGCCATTAAATTTTGATAATATTGTAGTATTAACTTTAGGTTTTTTAAAAATCACCAAAGCGTACTAGTAACATTGACTTATATATTACTAGCGTAAGGACCGGGCCGACTGAACAACTAAAACGGACCAGTGCGCTGGCCCTAAAATTACAGTTTAGGGCCAACGCGAATCGGTCTACAGTGGTGCGCGCGCAGGACAGATTTGCCTGTCATAAATATGTCTAGTTGCGTGGTAAAAGGATGCAAAAATTTCAATACAAAGATTAAAAAGGAACATGGGATGTAGTATCATCGGTAAATAACCTAATATTAATTTTGTTACAATAAAATTATTATATAAACGCATTTTAAAGTTTTATTTTACAGTTAGTTTAGTTACGTTACCAAGATTAGTCCAGGGTTAGATTCAAATCCTCAAAAATATTGTACATGGAAAATAAAATTATACAATTTTAAAAAATTATATCACGTTTGACGTTTCATGTTTCTTTTTTCCCATGTGCCGGGATTTTGGCGTCACGCGTCTAGTTTATCTATACGTTTCGTTTTTTAACGGTTTTATTTTTATTTCTGTTTAATTTTTGTCTAAAGAACTTGATGTAAGTTATATTTTTGATTATTAGTTCGTAATATATTTTACATTCAATAAGGGTAAAACGAAAAGAGTACAAAAGAAACCATATCTGCTTAATTGAATCTGAAAATCTGATCATAAAATATTTTGAAATTCTGTTTTCAAACTGATTGTTTCTGGAGCGTAGAGTTTTTATCGTGGTAGCCCTCATAATAGTTGTATCAAGGATGCAACATAAATGCATCGATCGAGCACCGATTGACCAGAAAGGGAGCTAATTCTAATTTTATTAATAAAACTCGGTACTCATGTATAATACAGAAATTCCCGATATCGTAGGGTTAATATTAAATAGTAAAAAGACCTAATAATAACCGACCGATTAAGTCGACCTTTAGGTAAAATTGTGGTATTTTCGCCTAGTATTATTACGATAAAATATATACCACAAACTATGAAATAATAGTACAATTAGGATAATAATACTACGAAATCTGACCCTGGTTACGTCGTGTTATGATATGACGTTTGTATTATGACAGATGCGCTACTTTTTCTTGTATGAAAAAGTTATGAGTAAAATATTTAGATGGGCCTATCCTTCCTTTTGAAATCATTGAATAGTAAGTACTGTAATAATTATTTTTATAAAGAAGGTTTTTTATTGTAAAATTTCAGCGATGGATGATATCCAATAATAATGCATTATTTATTGAAGTCAACTGTTAGATCAAATAGTTTACTGATTTTATTATTATTTGTCCTGAAATTGTTCCCATCTTATGCTTTGCGTAAATATAACAAGTATTTGATTATATAAACTGTGTAACTATTGATGGTTGTTTTACAAAATTTTACTTAACTTTAGTTCATATATTAGGTGCACCACTACGCCGCTTTTATGGTTATCATTTTTGAGCCCTAATAGCTTATTTGTCATTTGTATTTATATTTTATATTTATTTACCATTTATGGCTTTATCACCACATGCGAGCGGACCATCTATTCGCTAACTTCGTTGACATTAAAAGTTTAGTCATTTTGGTTATTTTTCAAAGAATAGCTAAAATTTTAATGTAAGTTTAAATATATAAATAATGTTACATCATTATTGCAGTGCCTGAAAATACGAGTAAATAAGGCTTTTTTATATAGGACAGGGTGACAAACGAGCACACAGTCCACCTGATGGTAAGTGGTTGCTGTGGCCCATAGACATCTACATCTATCCTCGATTACAAATCAAAATGCAGATGCGTTGTCACCCGTGAGGACTAAGATGGAATGCCTCGTTTCCAGTAAAAAGGGTCTCTGGTTCTCTACACTCACCATACGAAACACAGCAGCATTAAGCTACTATTTGACGCTGGTATTCTGTGAGAGCGTGGTCCTCGTGGTGGTCGAGCCGACCTATTCGTGCTACAACTACTAGTATAACTGCAGCATGGCTCTACCATTCTTAATCTTTTATTTAAAATAATTCCAAATTGAATGTGATTTATGGGCAACAACTACGCGTTCTCAAGCTCCTCTGAGTGCGATTCATTTACGCGTTTGCCGACCGAGTACCACGCATTTTGAATTTAAAAGATAAAAAGGACTGAATTTTTGAGATTGTTTTAATTAATTTTTCTTCATCATTCGCCTACAACCTACATTACTTATTTTGAATTTGGCTGTATAATGAAAAATAACCAAGTATAAATAAGCCTTTCTATAAGAACTACTTCGATACAAAACAAGACGCAATGTAGTGAATAATGACTATCATTGATGTCAACGAAATTAGTGAATAGTCCTGCAGGTAACATAGTAGTTTCATTTAGCAATAGGAGCAACAGAACTAAAATTATTTTCATAATATCGACTAGCAAAATTGAAGACCTAAATATGTTTATTTATGATTCATTCGATTCAACAGTCGACGATAACGGAAGAGAGCAAAATGGCTTACGCAAGTCTTATCGAGGATCCAATGCCGTCGACTTCTCTTGTATCACAAATCTCCGAGATGGCACATAAGCCCGCCACCATTCCTAAGCCGGCGCCGCGGCTTATTGATTCAAGAGCCAATTTCCTTTCGCTGCAAAAACAGTTCTCTCATAGGAATAGGTAAGTCTCCATAACTGTTTCATGTACGTAGAGAGAAGGTTGGGAGTAAATTACTTCAGAACTATAAATGGTCTAATTTTTGAGCACTAAAGCTAGCATCAATACTTTAAATGTTCCATTAGGCGCGTTGTTCACGTAAATCGCACGTCATGCGCACGCTATCCTTTATTGACGATTGCTTACATTGCATCCTGTGTAAAAACTGTCGTCTGGCGTTATGCGGTGCGCGCGGCAGCATGCATGTGTTGTCACTTTAGCGACTTTGTCGCTAAATCTAACGAGTTTTTTTGTTAATTTAGGGAGTTTAATTCAATGTTTAGCGGCAAAAAATATTCTGGTGACTTTTAGCGACATATGCAATTACTTAAATTTTTGTTAACTACTTTAGGCATAAGGAATACTATAATCTATCCATAAACAAAATTATAAAATGTAAAAGAACCGAAACAAAGTTTCTCTGAATATCGCTTTTACAATGATTAACACATAAAAAAATACCTAACATGTAGGTACAACATTATGTATGTATTAATTAAGTATGCTGTAATCATCATCACTTTTTTTTTATAGGATAGGTTGACAAACGAGCACACAGTCCACCTGACGGTAAGTGGTTGCTATGGCCCATAGACATCTACATCTATCCTCGATTGCGAATCAAAATGCAGATGCGTTGACATTTTCCCAACGAAAAGACGTGATCTCGAGACGTGATGCAACTTGAAAGAAAACTGAGACATTTTGTAGCGTGAGTGACAATTGCATGAAGAGAACGTGGACAGGCCTATGTTCAGCAGTGGACTTGTGAAGGGCTGTAATGATGTTGCTGATGAGCGTGGACATAACAAAGATGCAAAACACGTCTATCGTCATCTATAGGTTGCATGCATTCGTCAAATGACTCTACCGTGGATAGTGTGCATATAACTTCTATTTGTTGTTTGTTAACAGTGGAGAAAGTTGTAGATGAGCAGCAACATCTTTGGGTTTATTTCCACCTGTCGTCTCTTACGACACCCACGACACGATATGGGGTAGTAGATATTCTTACACCGCCACCACACGCTCACTGATGAACTAACAGAGTTATAACATTTGATTTTCAGAACATTATCATGCAGCGAATCCGAACATCAGAAAACGAATGCTGAAAATGTAAGTTATTTTTTTATAATTATTTCTAACATTGTATTAAAGAAACAGTCCATCAACCTGTCAATCTGATTGCAAGTTGCAAAATACTGAAGCTAAGATGAAATTCCTCACTGCCCGTAATTATGCTTACTCCCTTTACCATTCCACAGGAATATGTAAGTCATTACTTTTTTGAACGCCCCACGTGTTATTCGATACATAAGTAGATCATCAAACACATAATAATAATAATAATAATAACCAACGAGCAATGGCAAGACCCGGCAGTGCAGAGCATTTCCGACCGGGAGACCGTATGGAAGGAGAAGGAGCTCCACGGGAGGTTCTACAAGGCTCTACATGAGCCTTTCGTAGACACAGTCGCCTCCCTCCACTGGCTACGCTTTGGTGACCTCTTCGGGGAAACCGAGGGTTTTGTCTGTGCAATACAGGATCAGGTTATTAAGACCAACAACTATCAGAGATACATCCTAAAAGATGGCACCGTCGAGCTTGTCGTCATCCCGGTGAGTCACTTAGGCATGTCATATCCGGTTGATCAGCGTTTTATAACTCTGAGTACTCGCACAGGCACAACCTAGTAGCCAGAATTCTCACCAGGAGCTCGCTCTGAAATACGGTCTCGTGGATCGGAAATTGCCCTATTACAAGTACTTGCCGGAAGCCGTGCTCGAAAATGATCGCGCCAGGCTCTACTGGAACCGGGCCATCGTCACAGACAGGACTATTCTTGCGAATAAGCCTGATATTGTGCTGACGGACAGGGCACAGTCAAGGATATTTTTGGTCGACATTACCATTCCGTATGACGAGAACCTCGTGAAAGCCGAAACAGACAAGCAAACAAAATATCTGGACCTGGCTCACGAGGTGACCGACATGTGGGGTGGTCTGCCGACCGAAATTATTCCTGTAGTCGTCTCTGCGAATGGGCTAATCCCAGTCAGCCTCTCGGGTCATCTGAGGCGACTGGGACTTCGTGTCGGACCGTTAGGGGCTCAAATGCAGAAGGCGGTGCTCCTCGATACCGCCCGCATCGTCCGCAGGTTTCTTTCCCTTTCCCCCTAACCCTCGGCCGTTTGGTCTCCCCTGCCGAGGGCCTCCATCTGGTTGGGCTTTTATTTATTTATGTACTTTTATATTTATTTTATGTTATTGATATTTATGTATATTTGTCTTTTCATTTTCATTTATAATTATATATTTATAGCACCCAACCAGATGAGAAAACTATATAGATACCCCAAAATAATAATAATAAAAAGCTGTAATTTTGGATACGACAGCGATAGTACGTCGCCACCTCACAATTTAAACAAAAGAGCGGCATCTTGCGATCAGCCGATGCCGCATCTTAAAACACTAAAAGGGGCGTTAATGCAGATCGTATAATAATAAGCTTTTTGTTTGCCTCAGTTTACACGTGTTATTAAAAATGTACAAATAAAAATCATCAAAAACTTAACTTAGAAACATACTTAAGTAACATAACAGTAATGTGACAAACTGGCCTGTGACCCAGCTATGTCGTGATTTTAGGTCACCTCTGTATTCTGCCACAGTCGACTATTTTAAAAAACACAATATCTTAACCTAATTTTGGGATTGACGTAATATAACTAAAGAATAGACTAAAATATATATTTATATGTGCTACGTAAATTTAGGTAAAGGAGACAATCGCCTCTGGGCCTACCAGAAACTTCAACGACCCTCAACGGTATTATAAATCTAAGCTGAATCATGAACTATTGTAAGAATTAAGAACATCACTGTTAAAGAGCACTACTATTCTAAGAATTAAGTCTGTAGACATTTTGTTTGAATGTTTTACGTTTCAAATATTTACAGAATAAGAACGAGCTACCTCTGCCACCGCGGACATCCAAACCGAAGTTAATCGATAAACCGAGACACATACGAAAATATCCCCTGAAACTTCCCAATTCTGACACAGGCACTACAAAAACGACCAACAGCGAACAAAACGGTCGTCATATCATATATCAGAATGCGATTACTTGCTCCATGAAGGAAAGAAACGGACAAAGCGAAACAGATGATGGCTTAGAAAAAAATGGGGTTGACGTTTGTGACGGTGTAGAAAAAGTTAAAATAGATACGAACCCATTCAATCGTTACCTGGAGTCTATCGGTAGCGATTACGAGTGTGAGAGTGCCAAAGAGGGGGAGCAACACATTGAAGATGGATCTCTGGTCAAAGGTTAGAATATTTTTTATATGTAAACAAAAACATATTTGATGAAATTTGACTTTATCCAAATTTCCCTTTTTTATCGCTTTTATCACGGGGGAGAGCTTTCGAAAAATCCTACGTCAAACCGCCACTTTCATGATCAGAAATTCAAAATTCAAAATTCTTTAAACACAATTTGAATGTCGAGCGGCATTTTATGATTTTTAAATTTACTGTCTCGTGGGACTACTTTCTGGACTCTACTGTCACCAGCGATTTTTCAGATCGACATGACTTCGAAAAATACGTCACTGCTTTCTTAAAGACCGGCAACGTGTCGGCAATTCCTCCATAATAATCCCTTTTTAACAACCAATTTTTATTCATCACTTTCACAATCAAAATCCCTACAAGTTTTTCTTTTATGAGTATCAATTTTATCTCGAGTGGAAACTTGTATTCTCTGTAAAATGCTGCTACGAGGGTGACACTGAAAGTTCTTGGAAAATCAAAATCGGAACATACTACCAAGTTATTAGTTTTATTATATCTTTTCATAATAGTGTCCATTTACCATCAATACATCGCTGCATCCGATGGAACCACTGAGAAAAGCACTTTGCCCACTCCTCCTTAGGGGTCTCTTCGACGGTATTTTGAAACGCAGCCACTGGCTTCCTCGGCGTCCATAAAACGGTTTCCTCGAAGTTTTTCTTTTATTTTCGGAAATAAATAGAAATCGCGAGGTGCGAGGTCTATAGGGCGAGTGACCCAGTGATTCCACGTCTAACGTCGCCAAGTAGTCGATTATTTGCTTCGCGGTGTGCAAGGTCGTTTCTACCGAACTTTTTCTAAGACAAGTGGCAAACAATTGTTAGTGCACCACTCTGCAGTTACTGTTTTTCGATTCTCTAAAACAATTGTTGCGTAATGACCTGTCTTTCCGAAGAACGAGGACACCATCTTTTTTCACACGCTTCGACCTCTGTTTAGTTGACTCCTCGGAAGGAAACACCCCGACAGCAGACTGTCTCTTATTTTCAGGATCATAACAATAAATCCAGCTTTCGTCACCCTTAAGTATCTCGAACACAGCATTTGAGTCACCTCCGTTAAATTTTTGAACCATTTCACGACACCAATCATCAACACGACGGAGTTTTTGGGCCTCTGTCAAATTATGAGGTATCCACCGGGCACAAAGCTTCCTGACCGCTAAGTGTACATGGAGGATTTTGTGTATTTGACTCATACCGATGCCTAAGTTTGTCCGATTCTGGTATAAGTCACTCTTTTGTCAGTCTCTATTATACGCCGCACAACACTAACGTTATTCTCAGTCTCACGTAGATCATTGGTGAGATTAGTGCGACCATGTTTAAACTCATTAAACCAGTTGTAAACAGTAGTACGAGATGTGACTTCATCGTGAAAGGCCAATCGAAGTCTATCATAACTTTCTTGTTGACTTAACTGAGATCGAAGGTCATAAAAAATCATTGTACGAAAATTTTCTCGCGTTAAATTCGTGCTGACATAACAGACTAATTTCAATTTGCCGCCAAAAGTAAACAAAAGACAAATTTAATAAAATGCATACACTATTATATTGGCCGAGTTCCATTTTCAAAGTTTGAACTTATTTTTTTATTATATTGTTTACAAGTGACCAGTTCTAAAAACTTTCAGTATCGTCCTCGTAATAACTGACGGTCGGATTGAGCGTTTTGTGAAGCCATGGAGAATAAGTGTGCAATGGACCTCTGAATGATCTAAGATTCTGAATCTCTCTCTGAATGATCTAAGATTTTATTGCAAAGATTTGTGCTACAACAATTTAATATCTATGTTCAACTTCTTTCTTTTCTTACAGCGACTATGATTTCTGGATCCAATATCGCCACCTACTGGGTCCAAATATGGTCCACACACATAAAAAATTAATCAAAATCGTTCGAGCCGTTTTTGAGTTTTTACCGAGGCTAACTGACAAACACATTAACGTCTCTTCTTCCCGCTATTACATGTCAAATATTTCACCTCATTCCTAAATGGTACCGCGCTGGTGCAGAAAAAGTCGTGCATGGTTCATTGTTGCCGTGTGGTGGGTTGTATGTGTCGTGTGGTAACGGTGTAAAAAAAATTACCACGCTGTTTCGTCCCGTCAACTTGTAAATAAAATACTAAATGGGAAATGCCAGACAAATTTCACGGCCTCCGATATATGGCGGTATCACCACCTGGTGTAAACCACATGTAAAATATCCAGACAGGCAAAGGGGAGAAGTGTAAAAGGTGCGAGATTTTTGGTACGAAAATCTAACAATCTGACCGCGTGGCGATTAATAACAAATCTTTTCTGCAATGCGAGAGTCTGTCCAACAATCGTATGCTAATGCAAATAAAGAAAATACTAATAAGTCCGTACCTATTTTTAAATTGCAGATCATGTTTCGGTGGAAGATTTATTGGAGTTTGCGGATCAGAAACCTTGCGGCAGGCAGCGCGGCGTGGAATCCGATGAAGTCAGAATCATGAACAAAGTGCTTAAGCAACAGGTTTGAACTTTGCAGTTTTAAAACTTACAAGTTTTTGTTTACAATTACGTGGGTGACAACTAATGTTTCTAGGTAATGGATCAGAGTTTCTAAATGATTCATAGTTTTTCGAAGTAGAAGATCGCTATTCGTGTATATGCATCGTCGTTTTCGAAACTACTTACTTTTTAGACACTTTACTTTTTATAAAATACCCAAACTTTTCTTATTCACAGGCAACACCAGAAGCATGTCTCGAAGCTTTGGAGCTGAGCGATTGGAATGTACATCACGCTATCAAAGTAATCAGAGTGAAGCTATCAGTCGCCGAGGAGGTTAGCGTCACTTTGGAAGACTGCAGTCGAGAGCTCACCAACGCTGACGGTGATGTTGTGAAGGCCTCAGCTGTACTCATGATGTACAAACATAACAATATTTAATAAATCGTAAAACAAAAATTATGTTTCTTTTATAACCTTTTAGAAGTTAAGGTCAACATCAATATATAAGAAAAATACTTTTTCTACTGTCTAGGCATCAGCGGATACAGAGTAAGGCTTTTTAACGTTACCTCCACGCCACGGACTTGTGCTTTTACATGTCCATAGAGCGTTGTCAATAAGTACCACAAAATAAATAAGAGTACGTGAGGGTAATATGGTCACTTCTTATAACTCAAAAACTACAGCCTTGTTTGCATAGATGCCTATGTGATACGGCAGCTCTTCATCGATCAATCAAATAATAAAGTATCAAAAGATCGATTCTTTATCGACGCCATTTTGACAGTTGATATTAAAGTAAATATTTTAGTCGATTTTAGTATGGTGTCGGGCATATGGTTAGTTTTTTTAAAGTAGATTTTTAAAAGTGTTCCTAATTATTGCCAAAGCTTGTTTACATTTTTTTCCTTAATATATTAGTTATAGTATACGACTTTGTATTTTTGTTTTTGTGCTTCTCCTAGTTTTGGTTTTATTGGGCGGCTAAGCTTATGGTGAATATTACCCTCACGTACCTTAGTACTACGTACAGAAGTTGCACTCCTTAGATGTTGACTGCTTACCGTCGTTTTTATAATCTACATAATTATTATTAGATAAATTAAGGCACGCAAGCTGAATTAAAATTTATCGCTGCGTTCTAGTGTCCGTATGGCTGAATTTTTCCCCTGCCTACGCCACGGACGGGATTTAGTGGTTACCCAATAAATAGTAGAAAATACAGTACGTACCTAAGCTGCACTTAAAGTATCGGGAATGGAATATTTCCACTGTTCCTGTCATATTAAAATCTTTTTAATTGAAAACTCCTTGGTTTTAAAAATCGAATACCATTTATTTTAAAAAAGATTCTCGGTCGAATTGACTCGAGAAAATTCAAGAGCGATGATTTATTATGACTTTCGAAGTGGTTTAACACAAAAACAATGTGTTGACCGGATTATTTCTGCATTTGGTGATGAAGCCCCATCCAAAACCACAATTTATCGCTGGTTTGCTGAATTTCAACGGGGACGTGTCAAGCTCAGTGATGATCCCCGTCAAGGTCGTCCAAAAATGCAGTCACCCAAGAAAACGTTGATGCTGTGCGTAAGCTGATTGAGGAAGATCGACATGTGACATACCGCAAAATTCAGGCAACTTTAGACATTGGCATGAGTCAAATACAAATAATCTTGCATGAACAATTAGGTGTAAAAAAGTTGTTTTCCCGATGGATACCGCATTCGCTCTGTGAAGAGCAAAAAGCGGCTCCCGTTACTTGGTGCGCCAGAACTCTCGGAAGATTCCACGCAGGATCCTCAATTGCTGTATACAACATAGTATCAGGTGACGAATCCTGGATATACGCGTACGAACCCGAAACAAGTAGAGTTTTGAGTGTTGAGTGCGAAAATGAGTTAAAGCCAACAAAAATTGTTCGTTCACGGAGTGTTGCAAAAAAAATGGTGGCCACGTTTGTCTCCAAAATCGATCATGTTACGACTATTCCTCTTGAGGGACAAAGAACGGTTAATACAGAATGGTATGCTAGCATTTGTTTGCCACAGGTCGTTTCTGAACTTCGTAAAGAGAACTGCAACCGCCGCATCATCCTCCAACACGACAATGCGAGTTCTCACACCGCACACAGAACAAAAAGAGCTTTTAGAGCAAGAAAACCTAGAATTATTAGACCATCCACCGTTCAGCCCCGACCTAAGCCCTAATGATTTCTATACTTTCCCTAAAATAAAGAATAAATTGCGTGGACAGAGATTTTCATCACCTGAAGAAGTTGTGGACGCCTACAAAACGGCCATTTTGGAGACCCCAACTTCCGAATGGAATGTTTGCTTCAATGATTGGTTCCATCGTATGGAAAAATGTGTCAAATTTCGCGGGGAATACTTCGAAAAGCAATAAATACATTTTTAAATAGTAATGTTGTGTCACTTCCTTGATTCCCGAAATTTTCAGTGCCGCCCTCGTATGTTATACTCTTTGATTATTTATTTAATTTACAACTGTTATACTTTAATATCATGTCCTATATTTTCACCGCCTCTAAAATAATGGTTATTACTTTTAAGAGTGGAAAGGTTCTAAATCTGACGTACAATTTTAAGTATACACTATTATAGAAGGAAAAGATTGACACGGAGTCATAAAATCAATATTCGTTAATAATGTTAGTAAATTATTTTCAGAGTTGTTAATGAATGTATCTTCTATAATTTACTTACATATAAATGACACTAAAACATAAACAACTATTTTATCCTATAACTAAATAAATGTAGGTACTATACAATAAACAAAAAATATTTATACAAGTATAGACAAAAAAATCTGATTATATAAAAAGTGTCAAAAACTGAAATTCACTAGTAGTAATTACTTCGTATGCAACCCGAGGTTCCGCACGATTGTAGGCATAAATTTCACGCAAGTAGGAAGAGTGACAGAGCGTTGGTACTACGTACCTAGTACTATTATTTATTCTGTGCTGGTATTGCATTGACCACTCCTACTACCTATGTCACGTGTCTTTGATTCAAAACCTAGCCAAATCCAAAATAATATTAAAACATACATTGTTAAGATTTGTCTGAATATTATGATAGTTCTCTTATGTCGCACAGTGCTTATGAATTGTAACTTTTTTGAATTAATAAAAGTGTGAAATAAACACAGACCTCCGGACTTTTTCCTACATTACCGCCTAATACGTTATTAAGTCAACATTTAAACTTCAATAAACAACTTCAGCAGTATTGCGTAGGTACTCTGTCTAAGCCCCAGAGCTCTTTAAGTTTATTATTAGTACTCTTTTGGCAGCATCAGTTCCTCGTGTATGTATAAAAGTTTAATATGGAAAATGTAAGGAAGATTTTTTTATGGGATAAGGTGACAAACGAACACACAGTCCACCTGATGGTATCTAAGTGATTGCTGCGGCCCATAGACATCTACATCTATCCTCGATTACAAATCAAAATGCAGATGCGTTGTCACCCGTGAGGACTAAGATGAAATACCTCGTTTCCAGTAAAAAGGGTCTCCGGTTCTCTACACTCACCATACGAAACACAGCAGCATTAAGCTACTATTTCACGCTGGTATTCTGTGACAGCATGGTCCTTCCCCGATCGAGCCGACCTGTTTGTGCTACATAATTCTTGATCTCACGCCATCCGATTGTCAGTGACATATACACCGACCGGAGACATACGAAATGACGAACGAACGAACTTAACGATTATGGCAAATCTTCCCTACAATTGAAGAGTTCCATATTTTTACATTACAGTGAAGAGGTTTAAGCAAGAGATCTCCTTAACTGGTAGTGACAGTCTCATGCTGACAACTTTATCCATTTTCCTCTTGTCTTTTGTAGCAGCAATCGCCACCTTCGTTTGCAAATCAACTGAACATGCATCTGGAGTCGCTTACGTAAGTTCGCATACAGTTCCAAAACTCTCAAAAAACGAAAGGATGCCTGAGCCTAACATTGGGATATAAGTAGGCCATTCAAAATTAATTCTACGAGATATAATGGCACTCTGTCTTACATCACTTGCAGTTGTCATCATACTTACAGTTACGAGTTCGGGCCCCAACGATGATGTGTCTTAATCTCACAGAAATCTCAGGTGTCCTGAAACAATGCTACTACAGCCAAGTTTCAGTGCATGCGTCTGGAGACCTGACTGTTCAACTGCCTGAGATGGGTCTTGCAGAACTTAGCTCCGACTGATTTCCATGAGCTTGTCATTTTTATCGTCCCCGGTATTGCTTTCTTATCACTATGAGTCTTTCATTTTCGGAAACTCCAACTTCTAGAGTTTTAACTTCAAACTTTCGTCATAGTCCTCAAGAAACCTTTCATTCGCTTCCGAGAAAACACTGACTGCAGTCTTCAGCTCCGGCAGGAGCTAGAATAGTTTTAACAAGTTTACTGTTCGCTTTTGCTTCACGGCACTCTCGCAGCTTACTTTTTTTATATAGAAGAGGGGGCAAACGAGCATGCGGCTCACCTGATGTTAAGTGACTACCGCCGCCCATGATCAACCGCAACACCAGGGGAATTGCAGGTGCATTGCTGGCCCTTTAGAAAGGAATAAGCTCTTTTCTTGAAGGTCCCCAGGTCGTATCGGTCCGGAAAAATCGGCGGTGGTAAACAATTCCATAGATAGCAGACTCCTAGTGAAAAGCACGGTGGTGGACCGCCAAGCATCCAGATGGTGTGGATAGTATCGGGACGTTTGACGCGTAGTGCGTTCACGAAATTTGGCGGCTGTGATTAATCCGAACAATTTCTTAGAGCACTCCCCATGGTATATGCGAAAGAAAATTGTTTTTTACACGTGGTAGAGCCATGCTGCAGCTGTATTGATTGCATAGTTGTAGCACGAATGGGTCGGTTCGACCGGGGTCTTCCCCGGTCTCACAGAATACCAGCGTCAAATAGCAGCTTAATGCTGCTGTGTTTCGTATGGCGAGTGTGGAGAACCGGGGATCCTTTTTGCTGGAAGGGAGGCATTCCATCTTGGTCCTCAAGGCTGACAACGCATCTGTATTTTGATTCGCAAACGACGATATATGTAGATGTCTATGGGCCACAGCAACCACTTACCATCAGGTGGACTGTGTGTTCGCTTGTCACCCTTATCCTATAAAAAAATGCAAAGAGATGCAACATCTCTTCGCAGCGCCACTGAATCGAGCCGATCGGAAAGCACTCGGTCGTCGACGATTTGAGCCGCTCTGCGCTGGATGCGATCAAGTGCAAGGAACTGGTACTGGGGAGCTCCACCCCAGAGATGGGAACAGTATTCCATGTGCGGCCGAACCTGCGCCTTGTAAAGTTGCAGGCGGTTAGCCGGCATGAAATATTGTCCCGCTCTGCTGAGCACGCCAAGCTTTTTAGAGGCCAGTTTGGACTTCTCTTCCAA